GCACTCAAGGACTACGTGAGGGATCGTTTCTTATTCTATACATGCTTCATAGAGCGACCTCACCGTTCCGAGGATTTGTGTTTAATATGTGGCCACAGCAAGCACTCCAGAACTACGTGAGGGATCGTTTCTTAGCCTCCTAGTGTCTTCACATGCTTCACGGAGCGACCTCACCGTTCCGAGGATTTGTGTTTAATATGTGGCCACACCAAGCACTCAAGGACTACGTGAGGGATCGTTTCTTAGCCTTCTAGTGTCTTCACATGCTTCATAGAGCGACCTCACCGTTCCGAGGATTTGTGTTTAATATGTGGCCACAGCAAGCACTCCAGAACTACGTGAGGGATCGTTTCTTAGCCTCCTAGTGTCTTCACATGCTTCACGGAGCGACCTTTCCCAGGATTTGTGTTTAATATGTGGCCACACCAAGCACTCAAGGACTACGTGAGGGATCGTTTCTTAGCCTTCTAGTGTCTTCACATGCTTCATAGAGCGACCTCACCGTTCCGAGGATTTATATTTATTGTGTGGCCACTTCTAGCACTCTAGGACTACATGAGCGGCCGTTTCTACGGCTTCAAAACAGTCTCGACCAATAGAACTGTCTGTAGCACCTAGTGTGTACAAGTGTTTGTTTAAGAGAGAGTGTGGTCGCTATTGTCCTTATCATATTTAAAAAATATACATAATAGTGTAACATAATTTAAATAACGATGTCAAATCAAAAATTAATCCTAGAGAAACGAGTAGCATCCTGCCATATTGAACACAAATATACGAAGCAATATTTGAGCGTGTCCAGTGTTGCCATAACTTGTTTGTTTTAGTACCTAATTGAACTAGAGACTGTAAAAAAGTTTATGTAAAAGAAATCTAACTCCTGCAACAATAAAAATAAATATGAAAACAATCTGAAATATTATAAAAACATAAATCTAAATTTATAAGATATCTGATTCCTGCGACGCTTAGATAAAATATTTTAACTTCAGTCCCAGCACTAAGCTAAAGGCTTGCATTGCAACGCAAACGTTGTTAAAATATTTTATATATAAAATATATTAATAAAAAGTGTACAAATAAAATATTTTTTTAACTTCTTGTTATTACTAAAAAGATTTGAGCTGGCAACCCTGTCAGACATTGATCGTTTTAAGAATAAAGAGGCCACAGTGTACACAGGTTTATGAGACAATAAAAATGTAGATTTGCGCGTGAGTAGGTTTATATGTATATATACTAGCTGTGCCCGCGACATCGTCCATGACCTTGATCAAATAAAGAATAATATTAAAATATCTAACACAAAAAAGGCAGCGAAAAAGTAAGATTTTCAAAATGGCGAAATGTCCAAACATACTCTCATTTAACCCCCTGAAGGGTAACATTTTTAGAAACTTTCAATAACATATTTATTTATATTTAATCAACAATAACAAACAATACATAAGTTTCAAGCAAGATAAGTCTAGGTTTAAAAATCACAGTACTTCCATACATATCTCCTTTCAAAGGAGACCTATTACAACCCTTTTTTCATATTGAAAAGTAGCTTATGTCCTTTCTCAGGGTCTAGACCAGAGGTTCCCAAACTTTTTTGTATCGGGGTCTACCCTTGCCATATTTTTCGGTATTTGGTACCTGCTATTGTTTTTTTGTAAATTTCTAACTGTAGTAAAGTTTAGTGCTAAAAACATCAAGATGACCGCTGAAGACCCCTTGCAGTTTGTCATAGACCCCTGGGGATGGATATAGACTACTTTGGAATCTAGACTATCATCATCATCTGCTTCTTCCTTATCCCATTTATTTGGGGTCGGCGTAATATGTTTTTCTCTTCCATTCATCTCTGTTCGCAGTCATTCCGTTATTTACTCCCTTTCTCACCATATCATCTTTCACACAGTCCATCCATCTCTTTTTCGGTCTTCCTCTACCCTTATAACCATCCACATTCATATGTAACACCGTCCTTAGGATATGATCTTCATTCCTACGCATTACATGCCCATACCACGATAGACGATTACTCTTTAACTTCTCTAACATCGGTGCCACTTTCATACTTCCTCTGATTGGAATTTGGAATCTAGACTATCTGTGTACCAAAATTCGTTTTAATCATTTCTGTAGTTTTAACGTGAAAGCGAGACAGACAGACTTACGTTCGCATTTACAATAAAAATAAAATATACTGTTTCAATATATATATATATATTTATGTCAATAGTACGCATTGCTTGTGTTATATAATAAAAGTATAATGCGCAACTGTTTAAATTATTTAGAACAATTTACGCGTAGTTTTCTGTAAAATAATGTACATGTGTATATAAATACAAAAACAAACATACACACCTATACGTGTAAGTATGCGAGAGAATTAACAAAAACAAATTTAAGTTTTATTACCACGACTATTACCTCTAGTGGGGTAGACAGGTTTAGATGAAAATAAAAGTTTTAATCATTACATAGTGCTGGGAAATTGCGTAAAAATATAATAAGGTTTCACCACCATGCGGTAGGGTGCGGTCGCTGGTTCAGAAATATGATGTTAATTCACTGACTGATTAAAACATTCAAGGCTTGTTACCTGCAATATTGGGCTCGTACTCCTGGAGACCACCTCTAAACAGCTGTCGCACAGATCACAATGATATAAGCACAAAACACAAAAATATTGTTCAAATTCGAGATTAACTTTTAGGATCACGGCGGTTGATTGCACAAATCAGACAGTTTTTTTCTTTTTCGAAGTGAATAGATGCACAATTGCACTCGCAGTGATGCGACAGAGGCGCCCCTTTACAGGTACATACTTACCCACTAAATTACAAATATACAAACCTTGACTTCAAACAACAGACCAGCTATAAAACAAAATCGCTGTAGCTGTCTGTCCGTCCCTATATATGCTTAAATCTTTAAAAATAAGCAACGGACGTTTTCTTAATATACATGATAAGTTTATTGTGATTCAGGAGGGGCTAACGAAGCTAAGCTCAAGTTCGTATTCTCCACCACTGGTGCCCCGCCAGCCTAAACCGATAGCGCAGGATAGAGCATCCATTTACTATTTAAAAAAACTGTAAACAAATTGACGATCCGGAATATATATAGGTCAATATTATCATCCCAGAGATCACATGATTTCACTACGCCACTAGAAATATATAATATTTTATAATATCTAAATATATATAACTCAAAGGTGACTGACGTAGTGATCTATCAACGCACAGCCTAAACCACTGGACGGATCGGGCTGAAATTTGGCATGCAGGTAGATGTTATGACGTAGTCATCCGCTAAGAAAGGATTTTGATAAATTCTACCCCCAAAGGGATAAAATAGGGGATGAAAGTTTATATGAAACTTTGTCAATTTTAAACTAATCGGACTGAGACTTTGCATGCATAAAGCTACTATGACATAGGCATCCCCTAAGAAAGGATTTTCATAAATTCCACCGCTAAGGGGATAAAATAACGCGAGCGAAGCGGCGGTCAAAAGCTAGTTATTTCATATGTATGTTAGTCTATAAGGTATTTATAATATGGGCATAGTAGCCTGAAATAAATAAATTATCACCACTATTAAATACATATAAATGTATCCTTTGAATTAACAAATATATTACTTGATTTTTCGTGTGTAATATTATATTATCGGTGGTGTAACCAAAACAGCAAACTAACCTATCAGAATGAACAGCACTACAGACATTATTACCATATGATAAATATATATGCTAAACCACTATACAGCATCGGTCTAGTGGTTTAGCATATCGCTTTACAATCCGATGGTCGCGGGTTCGATTCCTCGCACGATACAAACATTTGGATTCATAAGTATGATTGTTTGTATAGGTTTGGCTGTTTTCTATGTATATTATGTATGTATTTAAGAAAACAAAAATATCTAAGTATTTATTATATTAGTTATCTAGTACTCTAATCTAGTACACAAGCTCTGCTTAGCTTGGGACTAAATGGCCTGTTAACCAGTTATTATTTATATTGTATTACGGTGAGGCACCGTAATCACCACCTGGTTACTTTTTTTTTTGTTTGTTTTATTTATCCGTAATGGAAAGGCAAAGAGTCTAAGCCCATACAGCCGCAAGCGATGTTACTTTATAATAAGTGTGATGTATTTACACCCGCGTGTCAATGTCAAGTTTGACACATTGATCTATAATTGTCATTGTCAAAATAGAGTATGATTTGGCATTATATAGAGACTAATAAATATCCACTTGTGGTTAAAATATACCACTACTACTAGAGACTAATAAGAATGGCGTTTTCTGCGAATGTCCAATTGTTGCGTTAAACACTATTCAACAAAAATCATTAAAAAGGCGTGATATTTTTAACGTGTTATCAGAAGGCCTGGTACACATTAATAAGTTACCGAAGGATCCTAAATTATTAAATAAATTGAGTTGCTTTACAAAAAAATTTAAGTCACTACTAATAGAGAAATGCCTGTACTCAATTGACGATTTTTGATGTTATTATTTTTTTTGTTATTAATGACATTCTGATGACAATGTGTAAATTTATTAATTTTATCAACATTCAAATACAATGTACATTGTTAATGAATAAATAAATAAATAAATAAACCGTTAGCGCAGACGGGAGCACTATTCCATTATCAACCATAAAAAAAAACTACATATATTTTGACGACCTCGGTGGTCTAGCGGTCTAGTACACCGCTTTACGACCGATGGTCGCGGGTTCGATTCCTCGCACGGCACAAACAATTGTATTCGTGAGTATGATTGTTTGTATCGGTCTGGGTGTTTTCTATGTATAATATGTATGTATTTACAAAAAAAAATTCTATGTATATATGTATCAGTTGTCTAGTACCCATAACCCTTAGCTTGGATCTAGATGGCGCTGTGTGAATTGTCCTGAGATTAAAAAAATATATACAATTTTTAAAAGTGTGTTAAATAAAACTTCGTGTAGTAAAGTCATTTATTGTGGAACATTCAATTGCAATAGCGCCCCGTTGTCAGAAACAAAATCCGAACCCGTCACACCCTTCGCCTTCTCACTTGATAAGTAAAGGACAATTTCTGCAATTTCTGAAGGCTCTGAGCATCTCTTAAGTGGTAGTGATAAAGCCAGGTCATCCCAGGACATTCCTGGAACACCTGCGTTTTCTAGAAAGTCAGTTTTCACCGGTCCAGGACTTATAGAATTCACTCTTACACCCGAAGGTGCTAACTCCAAAGCAGCACCACGAGTGAAGTGGTCTAATGCAGCTTTGGAAACACTATATGCGAGATATCCTCCAAGGGGACTGGTCATCTTCCCTGCTATACTCGATATGTTCACAATATTACCTTTAGTTTTAACAAGATAAGGTGCAGCTAAAGCTGTCAGATGCACTATTCCTCGCGCATTTACAGCCATTATATTATCGTACGCCTTTAGTATACTTCCATCCAGAATGAAACCAAAAACACCCATTCCAGCGTTGTTAACCAAAACGTCTATTTTGTTAAATTTCTTTACAGTTTCATTGATGATTCTTTTGACATCGTCATCTTTACTCATATCGGCTTTGATGACAAAAGGCGTGTTACCAGCTCGGACGCATTGTTCAGCTACATTCTTGAGCTTTGTCTCGTTCCTTCCGATCATTACCACGTTTGCACCGTTTTTAGCAAACAGTAGCGCAGTAGCGGCGCCAATACCTGAACTAGCGCCAGTCACTATAACCACTTTGTTAATAAAACCCATATTGTATGAGCCGGTCTAAAGATGTAACGATACTGGAAGTGAGTTGTTATTACAGAGGTATACATACGTTATCTAATTATAGCGTAGACTTTGTATGTAATTTGTTTTATTGTATTTATAGAGAGACTGATACAATGTACCTACTAGTAACTCTTTATTAATAATAAATAGTAATAATAAGTTTCTTCTTCTTCATTGTGTACACAAATGAAATAATAAGAAATTACAGGTAATAGTAAAATAATTCTTTAATTCTTCTTTAATTACAAAAGGCGGTCTTATCGCTAAAAGCAATCTCTTACAGACAATATAGAAGAGAGGACTTATGTACATAGTAGGTGGCACATATAAGACACTAATAACTATACTACTAAATATACATACTTTTGTTATTTTTTTATAAAATATAATAACAATATTCTGCCCACGACTCCGCATGCCTACAAGGACTTTGATTTCCCAAATTACCAGCTTCTCATTAAACTCATATGAAATTACGGCACTTAGGTACACCAAAATATTAATGTTAGAAATTTTTGTCAGTCTTCTCTTTCTGAATTAGGTAACCTCTGAAATGGCTATACCGATTTTGAAGGAACTTAATATTTTATGACTAGCTTTAGCGACTTCTTCCGAGGAGAAATAAACTTACTTTAAAGTAAATAAAATTTCTAAAATAATTGTTTCCAAGTAACGTTGAAAGTAAGCAAGTTACTTCTTATAACATAGCTATTTACGAGCGAACTTCCCTTCAAAATCAGACTAGCCATTTTTGAGTTTAGAACAAACAAACGGATAGGCAAGTGGACATATAAAGAAAATTACATTTTTTTTAATGTAAGTATCGTATACACTTTCATATGCACATATTGAAATTATTTTTATTTGAAACGTGACAAAAATACACTTCAATTTTATTTACTTGTATAGATTACGTCAAATCTATATTGAAATAACTATTTCAGTTATGAATCTCTGTTTCAAATGAAACATTTTAATTCCATTTGAAATAGAGGCTTCAAAATAATCGTGTGGTTGATTATATGTGGTTTTAATCATTAAAGTAATAGTACTTTATTATACAAGTTTAAAATAGATAACATTATATAAATATACTAGCTACTAGCCCTGGCTTTGCATAAGTGTACATGTACATATATATATATATAAACCTTCCTCTTGAATCACTCTATCTATTAAAAAACGACTTCAAACTCCGTTGCGTAGTTTTAAAGATTTAAGGGTACATAGGAACGGACAGATAGTGCCAGCGATTTTTTTTATACTTAATATGACTGGCAGACCTGACCACGTGTTGCTGTGGCTAAAGTACTAAGGAGCAGGACATTGTCGATTATATTCGTACCAAGAGTAACCTGACATTGAGGGTAACGCAGCTGAAGTCGAGTCACAACGCGAGTTTCAAAGCGTTTGTGGCCCTGGTCCCCACCGACTTGCTGCCCACCTTCATGAAAGAGGACTACTGGCCGAAAGGTGTGGTGTATCGGCGCTACCGTGGCAAATTGCCGTCTTCAGTGCCGTGATCACACAGACAATATTATTGTATTAGGTTTTAAATATTATATTATATGTATGTTAGTCTATAAGGTATTTATAATATGGGCCTAGTTGCCTGAAATAAATGAATAAATAAAAAAATAAAGTTCTTGAATAAAACAATATTATGACTATAAATTGAGATGTAAGCTGTTCTATCTTTCAAGTTGGATCAAATTGCATGATTGTTAGATCAATTTGATATAATAAACGTCTATAACCATTAACTATAATAAGTATACATTGCGAGCTGCGCAGGACCGATCGTCGTGGAGATCTTTGGGGGCTGCCTTTATTCAGCAGTGGACGTCTTCCGGTCCTAGACAGTGATTAACTCATTATCATCCATAAAAAAAAATCACATTACATAACAATCCTATATCTAAAAATCTCGTTCTACCCACTTGTCTACAGTTTTTTTTATGGATGATGATGAAATAGTTCACCCGCCTGCGCTAACGGTTTACGCTGGCGGGGCACCAGTGGAGGATGATAAGATGAGTATGATGTCAGGTCAGTTAGCCCAACGTGACAAATTCACCGGGAATTTATCACGATGGTTTCCAGGGGGGACCGCGTGGAGGTCGACCTGACATGGTACATTGTTAGCCACATTACTAACAATCCTTCCCTCCACTTGTATACAGTTAGAAGTTGTATAAAATATTAGCAATGAAAAATGGTCTCTGTAATACTACTACGCAGGGGGGAAGGGGATTGTTAGTAATGTGGACTGATGATCCCATTGCTAGCAATGTACCATGTCAGGTCGACCTCCACGCGGTTCCCCCTGGAAACCATCGTGTTTAATTCCTGGTGAATTTGTCACGATTGACTAACTGACCTGACCTCATGCTCATCTTATCATCCTCCACTGGTGCCCCGCCAGCGTAAACCGTTAGCGCAGGTGGGAGCATCATTCCATTATCATTCACTCAAAAAAAAAAAATACTACTACAACTTTGAACATATCATTCGCAGTTTTGTAATTGGTTAACACTGGATCGTTCTCAAGGTCAGGGTCATGATTATAAAAACATTATCATCCACAAAAAAAAAAAAAATACAAAGCACGTAAATATACTAAGCACTTTGATATAATTTTATGGCTACATATCATTCGCAGTTTTGTAATTGGTTAACACTGGATCATTCTCAAGGTCAGGGTCATGATTATAAAAACATAACCACCGAATACCGAATTAGGAGATAATTGAAGTGATGCATTGAATAACAAAAATATACAAAGCACGTCTAAATATACTGTGTCACCGTGAATTGTTTTGTTTTGTCATTCTTTGTAAAGTTATCTAATTTCATAGCTACATGTATTATACACTAGCTGTAGGTACCTGCAACTTCGTTCGCGTGGAATTTAACAGAAATGATAATTAGAGATTTTTCTAAAAAAGTTCTAAAATAAAAGTAGTCTAAGTTACAACAGCTACCCGCTAACAAAAGTCCTATCAAAATCGGTCCAGCCATTTCAGAGATTAGCCGGAACAAACAGACAGACGTCTTCTTCTTATTCGATTCGATCTTGTCAGAACGGTCGTAGTCATTATGTGGTAGAGTGAGGGCAGATGTCATCCATCGTACAACTGCTCGCCACTTCTCCCTACTCGCTGCCATTCTGGTACACGTGGAGTGGACCACCTGCTGCTGCTTTTACTTGGTTGGTCCATCGCATGGGTGATCGTCCACGAGGTCTAATACTGTCAACTGTACCCTGTACGACAAGGCGCTCTATGGACGAGTTGTTTCTACGCGAGACGTGACCAAAGAAGGTAAGGATGCGGGATTGTGTTAATGTAGATAGACGCTGACAACAGACAAACAGACAAAAATTGTAAAAAAAATTATTTTAGTGTATGTAAATGTTATTTATATTCATATGCATGTAGTAAAAAACGGATATTTCAATATTACAAACAGATACTCCAACAGATTTTATTTATATGTATAGATATAAACCTTCCTCTACAATCACTCTATATATGTATATCGAGGGCCGTGATGAGTAGGCAATTCTTTGAGTTATTAGTATCGAATTTAATATTACTTATATGCATTTCCATTATTTAAAAATGTTTATTTTTTTATAGTTTCAGTATATGTTTTAATTTAGTAGATTGTTATTTTTTGATATATGATTTTATGAGTATTTATGATACATAGGCCTCTCGTGTTAGTACTGCAATTTTTTTTATATTACGTTTCTATCCGTGAGTGACCGTCAGTGGCCGTCCTGATTTTATTATATTTTTTATATTTATATATATATATTGTATATATTTTTTTATAACTATGTTTGTAACTAGCCTTGGTTTTCCGAAAATAAATAAATAAATATAAATGAATGCAGAATGCTAATATTTTTTTTAATCACATTAATTAACATTACACGTAGGTAAGGACCATATATTTGGCTATATGCTATATGCTCTTTATGTCTGTGGTCGAATATAGAGTAGATAACTGTCAAAAAGTCTTACGTAATATTATGTTATCTGTGGTCTTACTGAATGTTAAACTAATAACACATACGCACACACATTCTTTCTTACACACACACACACACACAAGTAACTTCTAATTCAGATACTGTTATAATATTTGTAATTCTTATAGTCTTATTCTTTGTAGTTAATAATAATAATAATAATAATAATCCCCGGACAATTCACACAGCGCCATCTAGACCCAAGTTAAGCTAGCTAAAGCTTGTGTTATGGGTCCTAGACAACTGATACAAATACATAGATAATTTTTTTTTCCTAAATACATACATATTATACATAGAAAATACCCAGACCGATAACACAATCATACTTATGAAACAAATGAAAGAAAGGTCGTAAAGAAAGAAGACCACCGAGAAAGATTCATAAAATTGAAATATATTGAAAAATTGTTTATTTGGTACACTACAAATAATTTTTAATTTAAATTTAATTTACTTTTTATATTAATAATATATAAATAATAGTCCAACTAGGTCTCCGCTCAGCATATGTCGTATATTTAGACGGGGTGCCACGACGCTGGTTTTCAGCACACAATAATGGACACCTTCATATACATATATTAGATTACACTTAGATTGTGGAATGAACTTCCTGCCGAGGTTTTCCCACGAGACTACAGCATGGGGTTTTTCAAGAAGGGTATATTAAGGTTTCTTAAGGGTCGGCAACGCGCAAGTGATACTCCTGGTGTTTCAGGGGTTCATAGGCTACGGTAACCATTTACCATCAGATGGGCCGTATGCTTGATTGCCACCATCGTAGTATAAAAAAAAAAAATTATAACATATAGATACAGAAATACATATGTGTAGAATAGCAAACAACTTTTGATTTATATGCTTGAAATATATAGCTTCAATATATTATAGAAATCACCGTATGAAAAACAAGTACACGTACAATAGCTCATAAATACTTACAGCACCAAACACATTGGTTGATACTTTTAACCTATAAGAGGGCGTCAATAAATTACGTGAGATGTTTAAGGGGGCAGGGACGGATCTACCTAATGGCTTTTTGAGCGCCAGCCCAGGACCCCGAGGATACAAAAGGCCCCAGTCCCCACTGAAACGATATTTAGAATATAAAAAAATATCTAGAATGTTAAAAAAACTATCGTAAGGTTGGCAACCCTGAGATCAATCAACCTATGCGAATGCACGTCTATAGAAAGGAATTTCTGGTGGATGTATTTTTTAGTTGAATAATATAATTAGGTAGGCCCCTAAGTAGATTTAGCCCAGGGCGCCACAAATTCACGATACGCCCCTGTAAGGGGGGAGGGGGTCGAGTCAAATCTCATCTAATCTTACGTTGGAGAAAGGAGGGGTCTCGGCAAATATCACGCAATTTTTCTGATTGAAACAAAAATAACTTATATTATTTTGGTCCATTTAATCTTGATTGTACATGCTTATTACACTTACAACTCTCAGCAATATTGATTACTAGTCTTAATTAGTCGTAAATAAAAGCACGAAGTAATTTTCTTTCATTTTACAATAACAATCCAATGCGTTTACGTAAGAAACCCACATTTTGATGTGTAACACATGGGAGATTAGGTGATGGGGGAGGGGGTTGAATAAAATCTCACGACATCCCCCTGGGGGGGGGGGACAGAATATTTATTTATTTATTTATTTACTTACACAACTATTATTACAGGCCTAAGCCCAATACAATAGTGTATCTAATTCTATATTATACATATTCGTTAACATAACATATAACATACAATGTTGTTTTTGTGAATTCACACAGACTACACACAAACAAATCCGTTGTTTCTGCTATTTTATTGAGAGTGGCCAGTGCGTGTGTCATGGACGCCTTGTTTAATCAATTAATTCTGCCGCGAGGTACCGCTAATAACTGGTATTATTTTTTTAAATAATTTAAAAAAAACACCTCACGTAATCTATGGACGCCCCCTAAATGTGATCCTACTCAGTGTCTATTAGATGTATTGTGATCAGTCATTGCAAGGGAGCGCCTACAGATTATTAGTAAGCAATAACTCTTAAATTAATATTTGCTGTATGTATTACTTGATGTTGTGTATTTATATATGTATGAACTATATGTACGTAATATAATTTTAATTGTCTGACTCAATTGGGATATTTCGGATAATAATACATATAGAACCATAATAATGTATTTAAGAAAAAAAACAATCTACGTATTTGTATCAGTTATCTAGTACCCATAACACAAGGTTTAGCTAGCTTAACTTCGGTCTAGATGGCGCTGTCTGAAATGTCCTGAGATTATTATTGTTACAAAGCAAGCTGCTTGGCGACTGAAGTAGTAATGGGATACCTAAGTTCCCATTGCAGACGTCATTTACAAGTCTTACCTGGGTAAAAATAGTACAAGGTCCACATAACTAGTTGCAGACAAGATGGCGCTGTGTTAATTACCTTAGGTTGCAGTGTGTAATTTCCCAGGCAGTGGAAGATATAAAAAATTCAAGCACTTTTATTTCGAAACTAAAAATGTACATTCATAATATCTACATCTATACATATAAATAAAATTGGAGAGTCTTTTATTTATATATAAAATAAAATTGGAGAGTCTGTATATATAAAAATATTGAAATAACCGTTTCTTACATTTTACATTTTATTATAAATAGGGTACACAGACCAAAATAACATTTCTCAGAATTTTTGTCTGTCTATCTGTCTGTTTGTTCCGGCTAATCTCTGAAATGACTGGACCAATTTAGACGGGACTTTTTTTGGCAGACAGCAGATGTAATAAGTAGTAACCTAGGCTACTTTTATGTAAATAATTTTTAGACCACATCATCACCTAATATCAGGTGAAATTGCAGTCGAACGAAAGAATTTAGAAAAAATTTAGAAGAATTCTTCTATTTTAGAAAATTATGTTAAATTCCACGCGGACGAAGTCGCGTGTATAGCTAGTTAATGATATAACCACATAGTAACTACTAACGGTAGTGAAAATTATGTATATATAGCCTATATGTATATTAATTTGTCATAGTGTCATTGACATAGTTTTTAAGTTATCTGTTACTAACACAATAATCTTTACATATTATAAAACCAAGTCACGTCCACTGTCTGTCCGTTAGATCTTTTAAACTATGCAACATATTTCAATGCAGTTTTTACCAATAAATAGATAGAGTGATTCAAGAGAAAGTTTTATATGTATACCCGTGTGTAGCTGCTGTTCTTCTTGTGATAAGACAGCTTTCCGAATGACTGGTGGATTAAATAAATAAGTATTTAATTCAATTGCTTAAATTAAAGTTTATTAATGATATTCTTTTTTTCTTATTTATTAATATTTTACGGCTTTGGAAACAAGTCCTTTTTAGCCCAACAAAAGAATTTTTTATTCTCTCAGTGCCAACACCATAGAATAAGTCAGAACAAATTATACACAGTTTAGGTTCTAAATAGGTTACCCTATTTGTTGTTTTATATATATATATATATATATATATATATAAACATAAAAGGTGTGGAACACAGTACGGAACACTAGGAATTATGTCTTCTTAAAAAATTGATTAGATGTCTCACCACGCAGGCGCATTTCATTTAATTATAAGCTGTTTATAACTAGGTTGTTTTAATATTTCATCTGTATTGAACACCACTACCATATTCATGATGTGCTTGCAAGCAGTCGACTGATACAGCTACGTAGAAAATAGTTATGAAACACTTAATTATAATTTACCTCAATTACAATGAAGCTATTAGCTTTTATTGTCATTAATAGTAATTGTCCAATTAATCTAGTTTTAAACTAAGTAGAGCTTGCGTTATATACACTAGACGACTGCAAGATATAAATAAATACATTTTTTTGTAAATGTTTACGCAATATAGATCGTTAGTATAGGCTAACCTCATTGCCAGCATGTACCATGTCAGGTTGGTAAGTTCCTGATGAATTTGCCACGATGGGCTGACTGACCTCATAAATACAAATGTTTGTGCCGTGTAGTCTGATGACCCTATTGAAACCATATGACCACCACGCGGTTTCCGTGGAAGCCATCGTGTCTAATTTCTGGTGAATATGTTACGATGTCACAACTAACCTAAAGTCGTGGTCATCCCATCATCCACCCTGGTGACCTATCAGTTAAATCGTTAGCACCATTTCATAATCACCAATTAAACGAAATGGCATATAAAAAACGCCCAGATCAATACGAATTAGGGCATCAAACACATCATTTCGCCGGTATAATGCCTGCGTATAGCATATCATAGGCGTTACTAAAACCTGCGATTTCTGTAACATCTTACCTATCATTTGAAAACGTGACTTATAGAGGAAAATTGTGTATCGAAAACAATTGACCCGCCACAGGTAGACGAATTTGTCACAGTCTGGTAAATATAAGACAAACTTTTGCATTCGACTATACAAAATTATACATTAAGTTGGCACTATAATTACTAACTAGTACATATAAGTAAAGTTACAATACAAAGTGTCCACAGTTTCTCAACAATATTAACGAGGATCGGACAGAAATGAGTTTTGCAAGCAAAGTGGTAATAGTAACTGGCGCTAGTTCCGGTATCGGAGCTGCCACAGCGGTGTTGTTCGCTAAGGAAGGTGCTGACGTGGTGATAGTTGGTAGGAATGAGGTTAAACTCGCTACTGTCGCAGAAGAATGTACCTGCAACGGTAAAGCACCACTTGTCATCAAAGCTGATATGTCTAACGATGACGATGTCAAGAAAATCATTGATGAAACAATTGACAATTATGGTAAACTGGACATTTTGGTAAACAATGCCGGAATGGGTGCTTTTGGTGGCATATTAAGCGACACCGCTGTGAGCACTTATGATAAAGTAATGGCTGTAAATATGCGTGCAGTTGTTCATCTAACTGCATTAGCTGCACCACATATTGTCGAAACCAAGGGCAATATTGTAAATGTATCCAGTATAGCAGGAAAGAAAGTTTTAACGGGAAGTTTTCTATCCTACAGTCTCTCAAAAGCGACTTTAGATCATTTTACGCGTTGCATTGCTTTGGAATTGGCACCATCTGGTGTAAGAGCGAATACGGTCAGCCCTGGTCCAGTTAAAACGGACTTTATGGATAATGCTGGCGTGCCAGGTGTTAACTGGGATGAAATGGGCGCAATCGTAGCACTTAAAAGATACTCGGAATCTGAAGAAATTGCCGAAATGATTCTTTATTTAGCCAGTGATAAAGCTAAAGGAATAACCGGATCAGATTTTATTACAGATAACGGAGGCCTTTTGAGATATGATGTTCCACAATATTAAAGAACTGGAAATGCTTTCCTGTCATAGACAAGAGGATGTTTCTACTTTTAATTACACACTGCAGTTACTGATTATAAACTTGGTATTCTCACAAAATAAATAACATCACAGCTTTTACTTGATTAACTACTGCTTTTAATGTTATTCTATACGCCAATTTAATACCTCCTGCTTACAATCAATATTATACTATTTTAGCAAGCGTATATGTATTAATATATTGCAAATAAAAAAATAAATGTATTAATATTGTAATTATTTAATTATTCATAGAAATATTATTGTTAGGTCATCATTAAAATGTTGTACATATTTACTTACCCTAGTTATAAAACCAAGATCCATGAGTTCAAACTTGGACCACACTGAATTACTTGTGGGGCATCATTGGACGTTAGGATCAGACTTACGTACAGGTCAGCTAGGCCACTGTTGGTTTGGTCATTCTTAATAAAAGTCGACCATAGATCTTATTACATTTCTATCTAATAGATGCTAGTGGCATTGATCGAAGATTATTGATGCATTTTGCATATTCTAATATATCAAACCCTTCCAATTCAAACGGGGGATCGAAATTACGACGGCCTGAACCAAGTTCAAATCCATAACGGTGCCCTCAGACTAAACTCGTATCCATCAGACAGTTGGCCTGCAGCCGCTCCATAAGTCCTTCCGCAGCAGTGCACTTTGCACTCGCCCCCTATCGTTTGGTGAAGCTGTAATAGTCTGCTGCAGCCAACACCACTAAATAGTTTGTAAAGAATTTTGATTTCATAGAAATGTATATAAAGGCAGCTGTATTTTTACACGAGAAAGTACTCAAGTTGCCCTTAAATTCATGAAGAATGTACTTAATGTTGTAAACATGATAGGCACGTGATAAGCACTCTGGGGGATCTAGAGTTACGATCAAAAAACCGCATATTTATAATATACAAGTGGTGCCTGCGACATCGAACGGGTGTTTGTACATTTTCACAATCTGTTGAAAATTCGAGTATCTCTGCACTCCCTAAGGTCGGTAGAGAATAGAGAATGCTATTAGCATTAAGCCAGCTTATTGTACAAAATCAATAGTTTTAAATAAATTAAATTAAATTAAAACTCATTTCATCATTTAGGATCTTTTGGTTTCTTGTGCACGTTGTTTTTATCCCTATCGTCCAATTCTGCTAGCTACTTCAGTTGAGAATAACCCGCAAGAAACTCAACTGGCACCTACATATTTTATTATTATTATTTTCATAGTCAGTTTCAATCTTATATATAAAATTCTCGTGTCAGTTTTCGTTCCCATACTCCTCCGAAACGGCTTGACCGATTCTCATGAAATTTTGTGAGTTTATTGAGTAGGTCTGAGAATCGGCCAACATCTATTTTTCATCCCCCTAAATGTTAGAGATAGTCAACCCCTAAATTTTCAATTTTATTTTTTAGACAACATTTTTAGTTTCTATATTTTTATGATACAACATACAAAAATACATACAACCCTAATTTTCACCCTTCTATCATCAACCCCTGTTTCTTTATAGCGTTATTAATTTATATGGCAAAACAACGTTTGCCGGGACAGCTAGTTTGTATATATAAAAAAACATCTATTCAAAAGAGCAACACACAAGTTTCTTGCTCATTCTTCTTGTGATGAATCTGCATTCCGAATGAGTGGTACAATCAAAATATGACTTAAATTTTTTTAATAAAGAATTTCATCTATTTCTTTAAATATTACATAGCGTTAAGTTAGTAATAAATCAGGCATGTTTACAACGCTACCCCTTTTTTCATTAATAAAATTCCAAATAGTGTATTCATAAACTACTCCCCTTTGGGAGTTTCTCAGTTTTAACCAATGGTTGCAAAATATTTTCTGAAAATTTCCTCCAAATTCCTAAAGCCAATTTTGCATAAAATCTTAACACATAAACAGACCAACAAACAGTTTTTACCACGTCACGATTTTATGATTTTATTATTTCTAAAGATAAGGCTAGTGACAAATAGGGTTCCGATAATCCAAGCCGTTTATTTGGGTATATAAACAATCTATATTGTTATTGAAGGGGCAGTAAGTGGTGAGTACTTTAAAGATTCCTATAGAAATGAGTTTTAAGAACAAAATTGTGATTGTGACCGGCGCTGGGTCTGGTATTGGGGCAGCCACTGCGGTACAGTTTGCTAAGGAAGGTGCAGGCGTAGTCCTGGTAGATAGAGATGAGTCCAGACTGAAGAGTGTACGTGAACAATGTACACAAACCATCATTGAGCCACTATTGGTCACAGCCGACGTGTCCAAAGATGAAGATGCTCAAAAGATAATTGGTGAAACAATAAAAAAATTCAACAAACTTGATATCCTTGTCAATTGTGCTGGCATCTTAAGAATGGGCTCCGTTTTAGATGGCAGTATCATGCAGACGTACAACGAAATTATGAATATAAATTTAAGATCTGTTGTTTTATTAACAACACTGGCTGTACCCTATCTGGTGAAGAGTAAAGGCAATATAGTTAATGTTTCCAGTGTTAATGCAGTGATTGTTATGAATCCAGAAAATGCTGCGTATGCTGTCTCTAAAGCTGGACTGGAACACTTTACAAGAGGTACCGCGTTGGAATTAGCTCCTTCTGGGGTTAGAGTGAATGCTGTCCGGCCGGGAGCGGTGAAGACTCGTATAGCAGAGCATTTAGGACGACAAATGCCCCGTACAGGCAAAATAAATATAAATGCATTTGGAAGGATATCAGAGCCAGAAGAAATTGCTGATACTATTCTGTTTCTGGCAAATGATAAAGCGAAAGGTATTACGGGATCCATATATACAGTTGATAACGGAATGGCGTACAAGTGAATGCTTTATAAAAAAATAAATATCTAAATAAAGTTTATAATTAAAAATAATTTTTTTTTTATTATATCCCTCGTTGTTAGGTAAATAGGTAGATATTTTTTTAATGACGGCCTCGGCGGTGTTACGGATTAGCACACTGCTATACTTCCGATGGTCGCGGGTTCGATTCCTCGCACGGTGCAATAAATTTATATTCATGAGTATGATTGTTTGTATCGGTCTGGGTGTTTTCTATGAATTTACAAAAAAAATCCAGGTATTTATATCAGTTTTCTAGTACTCACTTACACATTACACACAAGCTGTGCTTACTCTGGGGCTAAATGGCGCTGTGTTAATTGTCCAGGGTTATTTATTTTGTTTATTTATTTAAGTTATCGACAAATACTTACAATACAGCTGTATTTTTAATGTTTGTAACCTCAGAACTAATCTATACATGTAAATAAAATTGGAGTCTGTTTGTAATATTGAAATAACCGGTTTTACTACATGCATATGAATATAAATACGGTACATACAACAACATAACATTTTTTGTCTGTCTGTTTGTTCCGGCTAATCTCTGATATGGCTGGCATAAATTAAAAAATAAAAGATTACAGTTTATGATCTCTGATTAAGATAGTGACTTTTGTAAATTAAACTCAGATTATTTGGATTTTGCTTATCTAAACTGCAGGTTATCATTTATTACTTATTGCCTATACTTTGTAGATATTTTTTTATGGATTATTAATTTTTTTATGGACGATAATTTAAATTACCTTTAAATAAATTCAAAACATCTGTTAAATCACATTTACTTAGCAAAGCCTATTACTCACTAAACGATTACTTGAATGACGAGCGCGCATAATAATAGTTGTTCATGGATGAGATTTTCGTTTAATGTTAGACATAAACACCTATATAAATAAACATTGTAAATTAAGTGGCTTTTAAAAAAAAATTAGTTGAGTTTCTTGCCAGTTCTCAATTGAATCTGTACGGAACTGGACGGTAGAGAAAAATTATAATACAAAACAATTTGACGTTCATAAGCGGCTAAAGCGGTAAAAGAAAAAAGGCAGATATTGAACACAATAGAAAATAGACGAGGAAAAATGTTAGGACACTTGATACGGCACGATGATTTCATGAAAATTATTATTGAGGGGAAAATAGAAGGAAAGAGGGGGAGGGGAAGACCAAGGAATAGCTACATCAAACAAATTGAGGACAAAATGGGAGTCGTGTCGTATCAAGAATTAAAGAGCATGATGGAAGATCGCGGAAAGTGGCGAGAGCTCCACCGACAAGAGCGTAGCTCTTAAATTATGAATGAATGAATGAAAGCGGGTAAAATGTCCTAAGGTAAAGGGCCATATTATGGAACATTGTACTTTTATGAAACAAGTGATAAAAATCCGAATTACAAATAATTTCTAACGTATTCAGTATTTATAATATTATCTTTATGATCTTTAATAACCTATTTATTGATTAAATTAATTTATTTTTGTAAACACCTTAAAATGTATAGAAAAAAAATAGATGAAATGCCCGTGTCAGGTTGCATGAAAAAAGACTGTCTTTTAGAGTTAGAGAATGACACGTGTCATCACAATTGTTTTAACAATTTGAAATATTTGTCAATGATACAAAAATACTTGAAACATGTCAATCAAAAGTTTGACATATTATCTATTGATTGATAATGAATTTAAAGTACTTTAATAAGGTATTTATTTTTTATTTAGGTGTTTCATAATTGCCAAAAATTTCTAAACAGACCGTATTTATGGAACAGTATATTCAGTGTTCCACATCCCCCTCACATTCGATTTTCTTAGTTGTCCGTAATTATGAAACATACAATATTTAGTTAATTTCGTGTTAATCATTGTTAATTAATTACAACAAAGCAATTTACGTTAGAACAGATTATATTTCTAAAAATTTGCATTTAAATATGTACATAGATTGTAAAATTCTATGAAAATGAAAAATTAACCTCAAAAATGAATAAGCTGGATGATAAATATTGTTTTATATTAATTAAAACATATACTTAAGTGGAAAACCTGCCTGAAAAAATTAATAACACTTTATTTAATTCAAAATTTTTACGAAGCACCTACATATCACATTTTTATAGATGTTTTTAAATTAATAATTTTTGTAGGTAGATACATTTTTTTTATAGAATTTGATATCTTTATTCTATAGATTTATTTTATATTGTTATTTTTATTTTTGATTGTTTGGTATAATTTTTATAATTTGATATTGGTTGGTTTTCCTGAAATAAATAAACTAACTGTCAAAGATATATAAATTTGAATTTTTAGTGAAAGAACAGAACAGTAAGAAAATAATTTGATTAATAATCAAGTCGAATGATAAAACTAATGATTACATGACACTTAACAATGATTGTCATTCTTCTAATAAATATTCTCCTCTGATAAATACCAGTACCCAGTCTCAACAAAGCAGCCATTCCTGAGGTAATTACTGTATGAAATTATAGTATAAAATGAACCTTAGATATGGTTACTGAAGCTCATTCTGGTATTTATGAAAGTAGTAATTTAAATTGACTAAATTTAACTATATAAAAGCATAATGTTGGTGATGAATTAATATTTGAGTTGAATTTGAAGTCAAAAAAAATAGATTAAAGCTGAGTCATCAGGTAAACTCAAACTACCTTCTGCTGGCACATCTGATCAATGAATGCAATATGACTAAAAAAAGAAACTGATCGTAAAACTAAAGAAGAAAAGCTACATAAAACAAAACAATTACTAAATGAGAAAAAAGTGATATCTGATGAACGGAAAAAGCTACTAGAGAACGCATTACTACAAAGGATCAAAGAAGAAATGAAATAGTTGAATTTTTGGTTTAATTTAATGTATATTTGGTTTTTATATCTTGTTTATTAATGCTAAGATTTGAAACTGTTTTTGTCATACTTACTTTGTAAGTGAATATTTATTTATTGCTTGTTTATTCGTATAATTTTTAAATCTAACTGTATTAATAATTAGTAATAAAACTTTTGATACTATGAATAAATAAATTAGTAACTGAAAAATGTTTTTAATGCGAGACTTCAGTTCATTTTGAGTTCCATAATTTGGGACATTCAAACACCCGTACGTGTTGCTTTAGACTGTTTCATAAATACGGCCGTATGTACTTGTCTGTTATTTTATTCAATTTATTAGCATTTTCAACTAAAACTCACTTGATAATAATTATTATCACTTCAGTAGATATCAGGCAAACTATTAACTTAGAAAAATTCAATGTTTCAACTCTATTTTTTTTAAACAATGTAAAATATTCAACTCCTACTCAAAAGGTGTTTCATAATATGGCCCTTTACCTTACATGAATGATTTTAGATTTGATTTGAAGTTTATAATTTTTTTTTGGGAATTTTGTAAATGAAACAATAAGTAAAATTTTCCGCAAATATATTTCACAGAAACATAATTGCCGTCAGGTTACGCTTACACCAAACTGGAATAACCGCGCATGCCGCGTACACTGGGGACAAACAAACATACATTCACATTAATAATTATAAAAAAAAAAAATTTTTGATACCGATTTTATAATTAAAATTATTTAATTAGTATTTGATGTATCAAACATTTTCTCATCATAAAACTTGTTCTGACATTCGAATTCATATAAACTTAACCTACTTAGACACTTTTAAATAGTTATATATTTTTTTAATCTACCACTGATTCGTACAGCTAACTCATCACAAGAGCAAGCACGAAATTGACGTGATGTCATTTAAAAAAAATGTAACTTTACATTTTTAAGTTGAAATGTTTCTCACATTTCAACTTCAAAATGTTAAAGTACAAACTACCAAATAGCTCCGATTCGTTAATCAAAATATTAAATACACAACCAACTGGTTGAGTAACTAAATCTACATGGAATTTGAACAGCACAATAATATAAGAGGTAGAGGTAAAGTTTTTGAGTTCGGATGTTCCGATAATCTTTTTTTTATACCTCTAACCGATTCCCTATCCAATTCAAACGGGGATCGATATTACGACGGCCTGAGCCGAGGTTCGAACCCCTAGTGGTGCCCTCAGACTAAAGTCGTATCCGTCAGGCGGGAGTTGGCCTTCAGCCGCTCCATAAGTCCTTCCGCGGGTTTGGAGTGCCATCTGCACTCGCCCCCTATCGTCCGGTGAAGCTGTAAAGGCCAGCTGCGGCTAACAGCATTAGAGTAGTCAAAAAAAAAGACACAATTGAGGTGTGATATAGTGATGCAAATCAGCATGTTCGATAGTAGATTGTGCGAGTGTACGTTTTAACTAACGACACGTAGGTCACGCAGTAGCTCATATATATAGTTTATGTAATTAGTGTAAGCTAGAGTAATTCAAGATGTAACAGTTAATATACAAGTTACACCCTACTGTGTGTGTTTACTCTCACCACCGCTCCTGTTATCACAGAGGCTTATTATATTAAGTAGATGGCATCAAGCCTACGGCACATCTGACAGTAACTGGTTACCTTATCCTATGGATGCCTGAAAACCAGGTGTCAAGTGCGCGTTGCCAACCCTTAAGAAGCCTGAAAAACCCATTTTAGGGGTTCTTCATGAACAACCCCATGCTGTGGTCTTTAGAGAAATCAGGTCTGATAATAAAATATACAATGATAAAAGTGTTTACCTTTAAAAATGCATTTAATCGAAGAGACCGAAGCCCATGTCCTCATCTTCTGATTCAGACTCTTCCTTCTTGGTTTCCTTCTCTTCTGCAATAGGAAATGACGTAGCATGTTATTAAACAGACATTATACAGTTGAATAGAGAAGATGGTAGTAAGATAAATCAGATATGTTGTGAACACATCACTGACAGTCAGTCGAAAGATGGTGAATGTAAAAATCATCATTCCATAATACGTAAAACTACTAGAAATAAATTAAGTACCTAATAATATGTTTAATTGTTCATCTGAGGGAAATTGTTTATGACAATGAATTATTATTCAAAATTTTGGATACCTAATGAGGCCATAGGTAATGGTATATTGGACTTGTAGCTTTGTAACCTCACTAGATCTGTGCTTGCTCTTTTTCAAAGTTCACTACCTAGACCCATCTGGGACAAGAATTGAAGGATATTCTTAGGAGCAATGGTTTTTATCTCCTCAGGATAGAGTGTATACTTTCCAAAGGAGATATTACGTTCATGCATGAGTGGTTATAACACATATAGATGGCGTTTCCTCTTCAGTTTGACGACCTCAGGTCCGATGGTCGCGGGTTCGATTCCTCGCACGGCACAAACATTTGCATTCATGCGTATGATTGTTTGTATCGGTCTGGGTGTTTTCTACGTATAATATGTATTTATTTACAAAAAAAAATTATTTGTTTGTATCTGTCTGGGTATTTTCTATGTATAATATGTATGTATTTATGAAAACAAAATTATCTATGTACTAGTATCAGTGGTCTAGTACCCATAACACAAGCTTTAGCTAGCTTAACTTGGATCTAGATGGCGCTGTGTGAATTGTCCTGAGATTATTATATTATATTGTATAGTTTGGCAAAATCTATACATTTTTGTACAGGCTTAGGTTTGTACAGCCACCATTAGTTAGCATTTCATACCTTTCTTTTCCTCAGCAGCGGCGGCTGCAGGCGCGGCGCCAGCTGCTGCTGGTGCTCCACCACCCACAGGCATCGAAGACAGCTTCTCACGACCTGATACATGAGGAAAATGAGGGTTTAGTGTGATCTTAAAAGTAATGGCAAGTTTTTTTACATATGTACTGTCAGTTTAGGTGTTTATGCAGCAAGGTCATTCAGACGAAAGATGGTGTAATTTGATATATCATCATTGCATTATCTTAATAATATTATAAATGTTATGAACGCAAAAACTACTGAACGGATTTTGATGCAACTTTACAGTAATATAGCCTATGCATCAGAATAATTTAAAAGTTATATTTTATATTGGAATTTAATGCAGGTAAAACCATAGGCACAACTAGTGAAAAATAAAGTTTATGAATAATTACAGGTTTTAATATAAGGTTATTTTTAATCATAGTGAAGACACAACATTGATAGTTGTTAGTAGGGGATGGATGTTGTAGTGGTGTACTATTCTGACTTATAGCCACGAAGTCAGCCAGAGGTTTTAAGAGAGGTTTTAAACAATACAATGTTAGAAGAGGAAAGAGTCAGAGAGAGATCATCAGTAATGTGGACTATTCCCCATTGCTAGCAACGTATGGTACATTCAGGTTGACCTCCAAGCGGTTTATCTGGAAACTATTGTAATATATACCTGGTGAATTTCTCAGGATGAGTTAATTCACCTGAACTTTAGCTAGCTTAACTTGCGACAAGATGGCACTGTGTGAATTGTCTTGAGATTATTATTGTCTTCAACTGGTGCCCTGTCAGCGAAAACCATTAGCATAGGCAGGTGCACTATTCCATTATCATCAATTAAAATAAACAATTATTATGGTATGTTAGTTTTCTTCAATAAAAGACCATATTCCCTACCAGCCTACAGTAATCTCCACCAGTGGTGGTACATACCCTGCGCGATCAGCTCCTCCACACTCTTGCCATTGAGCTCGGCAATAACTTTCTTAAGTTTCTCCGCGTCGGCTTCAATGCCCACTGAGCTGAGGATCTTCTCCACGTCAGCGGCGACTGGGGCCGCCTTCCCACCCAGCACAGCCAGTAAATACGCGGCCACGTAACGCATTCTGAAAATATAAATAGAATAATTGTTAGCACACATTTTTTTTTTTTTTTTTTCTCTCTCTCTATCTGCGATCAGCCCTTCCGGCTATAATCAGATTTTTTGAAGTTATTGGCTTTTTGAGATGAGGCCCCTCCAGTAAGGTGCCATCTCATTTACTTTCTTTAGATGTTGGCAAGGCGAGCTCTTTTTAATCTAGATGGACAGTTATTTATATCCAGTAGTTTTGAAGCTAACTGGTTCTTATGGCCGGCTAATCTGTGTTTATATCTTCCACAGGCTTTCTGTATCTCTTCTTAGCACACATATTTAAAGAAAGAAAGAAAATTGCTTATTTGGTACACTCAAAATAATTTTTAAATTTTAATTTACATTTTATCGGTTTATATTAATTTTACAGTACCAAATAGATCTCCGCTCAGCATGTGTCGTGATGGGGTGCCACGACGATTGGTTTTCTGCGGATACCTTCATATTCACATACATAGACCTAGGCGAATAGCACAGAGTAAACATTTACGACTTAATACCATATATAAATAAGCATCAAACATAACTACACACTGAAACATAAAATAAACAAAGTTCTGGTGACACTGGTAGGATGACACCTTGCATTACCCTGCATTTGGAGTGCAGACACATCACGGCAGTTTTCTGAGTGAGTATTTTTTTTTATTTATTTTTAAAAATCTGCACATTTATAGATATTTATTCATTGATAGATAACAAAGGAGGCAGAAAAAAAGATGGGCAGATGACATAAAACCAGCAGAAATAGACTGGATGCCAACTGTCATGGATAGAGGGTTGGCAGAAGATGGAGGAATCTTTTACCTGCTTTTTTTATAAACAAAAAAAAATAATTCATTGACAGACTCAGTCATAGCAGTTTAGCACATTGCCTTACTTTCCGAGGGTCACCGGTTCGATTCTCTACTGATTGAAATACTTCTCACACCATTCAAATGGCACATTAACTCTTAAATAATATAAAGTATATTTAGTACTAGACAAAAATAAATAATTTAGTAGAATCTTTAACCAAATTCTTTGTACCCTGTATTATCGTCTTTCATATTCATGAACGGGTGCTGCTTGTAGGGACTGGTCTGCTTTAATCACTATGACTGATTTCCTGTTATTAATTGTTTAACCAGTTGATTATATATTCAATATTTTTTCTATTTGAGTATTAAATTGAATTAGTGCTAATTGGTGGTTTGTATTCACACACTTAAACTTAAAAATGTAAAGTACGCAAGTTTCTTGTTCATTCTCCTTGTGATGAGACAGCTTTCCGAATGAGCGGTAGATTAAAAAAATGGAATGACTATTCAAAAATGCTTCAATGTAAGTTTATTTGAATAAATAATTTTCTATTCTATTATTTTCTATTCTTTCAAACCAAAACCGTTTTAATGGCAACACATCTTTTGAAGTTGAAATAATTAAACAACTAAGTAATTAATAGCAGTAATATATACCATGACCTAGTAGTTTATAAGCCAGATCGATGCCAAAGATTGTGACTTCAAACTTGGTAGATACAAAACACTATATTTCTGACTATGATGAAAGTAACAACGATAACAAACCAAAATTTTACTAAGATACAAACATATTCCATCTGGTACAGCAGTCACAAAGGGATGTTCATTTGTTTTGTATTATATTTAAATACATATCAACACAAAAGCATAAGGTTGTTATGTATCTATATACTATAACCTATTTTTGTTTTAAATAAACAATTACTTATTAAAAATAAAGACTTACATATTCAAATATTACAAAATTGCAGCTAGTACAATAAGGTTTTGAATAATTATATGAAATATGGTTAACTTAGACAAAACTAGCAATGTGTTATATGAACAACATTACACACGAAAATATGTACATATTTATATAAATTTAAAGCTTATATATATTATACTTTGAATGCATGGAATTTATAAATTATGTTCAAATCATGATTTAAATTAGACTAAGACTAAGTAAAATCACTGCAAAGTTTATAATTAAAACGTTGTAAACTTGTTCAAAACAATGTGTTGACATTGAGGTTATGTACGACATTGGCGGTTTTGGGAGCTTAGTATTAAAAATTAAATGCTTGTACAGCAAATACACAACCATATGAACATATTTCAATGTTACATATATACAGATATCAATGAGTAAATATTACAAAGTGAATGGATATGTGTCCAAGTTGGACATACACATTTTATATCCAAGTTTATCTATTACTTTCTAATAACATTATTAAATTAAAATGCCAGTAATCAATGCAATGGTAATTGTATAATACAGTTAAAATAATATTTTTAAATAAAAACTTACTTTTAAGTCGTATTTGACACGAAACGTGTTATGCCGATACGTTCTTCAAGAACAAAGTCAAGAGAAAGAAGACATTTTTTTAAAACACGCTCAGTGTTGCCAATTTGGTTTTTATTTTCGGGTAAATTCATATATTTATTGCAGGAAGTAGCGGACATTTTTAGTAAGTATAATTTGTAAGAATAATATTTAGTGTTAAAAAAATAGTATTTATTTTTAATGCGTTTATTTATATATTTAGAAAACAGATGTAGATAGTCATGTTTATGTACACTTGCTAGATAATGGATAATAAATGTTACTTCTAATTCAAATTAAAAACGCAATAGTTTTCTAATTAAGTTAATACATAAAGTATTAGTCGAAAAATAAATAACCAAATCTAAAAGGCATGCAGCAGTAGAACATACATTTTCGTTTAATAATATCTCAATTTTTTCCATTTTCCTTACTGTTAGACCTCGAAAATCATGTCAATAAGTGTTTAAAAATTTGCTAATTTTAATAACATCTGTCATGTTCAGGCATTGTTTTTTGTATCGTATAAAAATATTGCCAAAATGGCAAAAATACGCTACATATGGCGCACAGAAGTTGACGTCTGCGTGCATCATAATGACATTGACTTCTAACATGGTTACGTCATAACAACACTGACGTGAAGGGTTGCCCGTACTTAAAATAATATCTATAAGTCGATTTTCACTAGGATTAAATCTAATTTATCTGCGAATAACATTTAAACCCGTATTATTTTTTTATAGATATGTTGAGAGTTTTAAATAGTTCGCCGAACAGAATTTTGTAATGAATAAAAAAATGTTTTTCTCATTATTCACAGCTTAAAACTAAAATTTATTGAATGTTCACAGTACAGGGTGGTATCTATTTTATCTAAAATGCGTGGGTCGGTCTACTGATGCGGTGTTTTTTTTTTTATTTTAAGTTTTAAAATATAAAATTAAAAAAAAAACACTTTATTTTTCTAATTTGTTTTTTTAATTATTAATAATAACTAATACACAATGCGAAGTAACTGCGCTGCTTGCTAAAAATAAATCACATAATTAGGTGCCCACTTTAGCAGGTTGTTTTATTAAAATATGATAATGATTGTTTTTTGAACTACAATCGAAGCAGTGATACTTATACTTATATCAGTGCTTATATTAACCTGCCCCGGCTTCGTACGTGTGTAACTGTACACGTATTATACATATAAACATTCCTCATGAATTACACTATTTGTTGCTAAAACCTGCATTAAAATCCGTTGCGTAGTTTAAAAGACCAAAAAGAGCATTCAGCAGAATCGACTTGATTTTATAGTATACTAGCTACTCGTCCCGGCTTCACACAGGTCACGGGTGAATCACACTATCATAAAAAAAACCGCTTCAAAATGCGTTGCGTAATTTTAAAAATTTAAGCGCACGGACGGACAGACAGCGACAGCGACTTTGTTTTATACTATGTAAAGATGATAAAGATACAATATATTTGATATTATTCATATTTGTTTTTTCATGACCGAAAAATGCTAATACACCGTCTTTTGCTCTCTGGCCGGAGATTCTATGTTTCTGTCGAAAACTATGACTCTACCAAGCAACCAATCGCCGGAGGCCTATAAGGTCCATAGGGGTCGGTTTATAAGTGCCTGCAAATTGAAATTGAAATTCAAAATATCTTTATTCATGTAGGTTTATTACAGACTCTTATGATATGTCAAATCTACCGTCAGTTCGGAATGTTTTCGAGATGAGAAGAACTGACAAGAAACTCAGCTCGTATTCTTTTCAAATAAATGTTGTACATGTTTACAATAATACACAGTCATTTAAATTCAAATTTGAGAGAATAGTATGACCACCAGCCACCAGTGATGGCTGGCTCATCAGTCATACTCGTCAACGAGTGTTGCTTGTAGGGACTGGTCTGTTCTTATCACTACGACTGATTTAATCTTATCGTATATTTATATTTGACCCAAATAAATTAGTGCTGGTTGGTAGTTTGTATTCACACGTTTCGACTTATAAATCTAAACTTACAAGGATTACTTAAAAGAGCAACACACAAGTTTCCTGCTCGTTTTTCTTGTGATGAGTCAGCTTTCCGAACGAGTGGTAGATAAAAAACAAGTTGTAATGACTATTTAAGAGTGCTTAAATTAAGTTTATTTGAATAAATGATTTTCTATTCTATTTTATTCTATTCTATTACCAGCAATAGTGTGACCCGCGGATGAATGAAAAATTATGAACTGGATTATAGAAGTTTCACTACAAATAGTGAAAAAGTAGTCAGTTTTTCAACCGTGAACTGCACCCGTATCCATTAAGTTAAAGCATATTCCATATAACTTGAGGGAAATACTTAGTTTAATCCTCAGAAGAATCGCTCCCAGTGACGTACTTAGGTAACCAAGGGCCCTGGGGCAAATAAAAAATGGGGCATTTTTACAGTTTATTACATTACAATTTTATTAAAACGCACATATCGCTATCCGTCAAATCGACAACACTACCAACCCACAAAAAGAATTTACGGGAATTCCGAAGGTATAACTTTCGAATTGCCAAGCCATAAAGAAGAAATAAAAAAAGAAAAAAAAACTTTCTAATTTCTTTCAAATGGTTGCTATAATATCACTTGTTCAAATATGAAGAAGTTTAAACGTAGACTAGGCTGTACGGTCTAAGGATCTTTGCCTGTTCCATCACTGAAAAGGAGATGGACGAATATGGGGAAAAAAAAAATAAAGTCGGGTTGTAACATGTCATATTTATTTTGAAAATGGGAAAAATTTTGAAAAGTTCAGCTCAATCGAGATTTTCTGGTAAGGATTCAAGGGCTCCGGGACATTACCCCGCCGAACCCCTAGGTAGCTACGGCACTGATCGCTCCCCACAAATTAGAGTGGTGAGTTAGGAAGTACGCCCTTCTGGTAAGGATTCAAGGGCCCCCTAAGCATGAGGGCCCCGGGACATTACTCCGCCGAATCCCTAGGTAGCTACGGCACTGATCGCTTCCCACAAATTAGAGTGGTAAGTTAGGAAGTACGCCCCACCGTTCACGCTGGCTTAGATTTCAGTGCATTCCAAACTTACAGCATTATGCTAATGAGCATGTTTTAAGATTTGATATGTTCGTGCATATTTTATGAGAGCCGGGGGCCGATTCTAATGTCTTTCTATAATTGTAACTCGCAATTTCACTGTTATTTAAACCAGCATGAAAATAATATTCTAGAGTACATACTACACAACCAGTATTGGTTGTACTTATAAACTGGTTAACAGTAATAGTTTTTAAAGTATGTACCTAAGTACCTTTTCATTTAATAATTAATAGCCTATATCTGCCATCGTGATATGATGTATATAAATTTATTCTTTTTTTTTTTTATAAGCTTGGACATTCACGCAACGCCATCTAATCCCAAGCTGAGCAAAGCTTATGTTACGGGTACTAGACAACTTATATATATACATAGATAATAATAATATACATAGATATAAATACTTAAAAGTCTGATTTTACGAAACTATAAACCAACAGGTTGTCACCGTAAACAAACAACCAGAATAGAATGTAATAGAACATCATTTATTCAAATAAACTTAATTTAAGCACTTTTGAATAGTCATAACATTTTTTTTAATCTACCGCTCATTCGGAAAGCTGTTTCATCACAAGAAGAACGAGCAAGAAACTTGCGTGTTGCTCTTTTAAATAATTTATTCTTACTTACAATTTAAGTTTAAGTGTGTGAATACAACCCACCGATTAGCACCAATTCAATGAAATAATAAAATAGAAAAAACATTCAATACACAACAACTGGTTAAACAGTTAATAAGAGAAAATAAGTCTTAGTGATTAGAAGGTTTAACCAAACGAACAAAGAAACCGACAGATTACTTAACAAAAAAAAAAAGGCCAATCACCATATGTATGTAATTTATAATAATATGTAAATGTAAAAAATACCATCTTGATCATCTGGATGAATGGCGGTCCTCCACAGTGCGGTTTTCTAGAAACTTTTTGCCTCGCACAACCACATTATGGAATCACCTTCCAGCAATGTTATTTCCGAACCGATACGATATTGAAACCTTCAAGAAAAGACATTATTCTTTTTAAAAGGCCGACAACGTACTTGCAATTCCCCTGGTGTTGCGGGTGCTCATGGGCGGCGGTAATCACTTACCATCAGGTGAAACGCATGCTCATTTGTCCCCTGTGTTATAAAAAAAAATATTATCTTATCTGTGGCAATAGTACTTAGACTGTGGAATTCTCACGAAACTACAGCATGGGGTTTTTCAAGATAATATAAGGTTTATTAAAGGTCAGCAACGCGCACTTAACACCCCTGGTCTCAGGCGTCCATAGGCTACGATAACCATTTACCATCAGATGGGCCGTATGCTTGTTTGCCACCGTAGTATCATTACATAGAATAAAACAAAGTCGCTGTCGCTGTCTGTCCGTCCCTATGTATGCTTAAATCTTTAAATTTAAAACTAGGTAACGGATTTTGAAGCGTTTTTTTTTAATAGATATAGTGATTCTAGAGGAAGGTTTATATATATAATACACGTATATCCGTGCGAAGCCGAGCCGAGTAGCTAGTGTAGTATAAAAGAAAGTAAGGGCGAGACAAACCAAAAGGTTGTTGCCATAAACAAAACGGCAGATTACTTAACAAAATCGTCCAATTACCAGTATGCAAAAGTAAGAAAGAAAGTCTATCAATCTGAAAGGAATCATAATAAAAAAATCTCTGACGCAGAGAAAGATTTAAAAATATTAATTGCGCAGATATTAAACTAACGAAACAAATAAATCATACCGAAAATTTTATGGTCGGTACAGATAAAAACTTCACTGTATCCAGATAAATTATTTCGCAGATAACGGTCAGTTATTAATGCAATGTAATTAGTCTGAACAGAGGAGCGTACAGCAATCTGAATGTAACAAAAAAAATTACAAATGTTGCTGTCAAAATGTTTTTAACTTCATAAATAATAATGATAATATTTATTTCCACAAAAAAGAAACATTGTATAAACTATATAAAAG